AATAAATAGATAGATAGATAGATAGATAGATAAGATAAGATAAGATAAGATAAGATAAGATAAGATATCATCACCGCAGGGAGGGGGGCGGTGATAACTTCCTCAATGGCTCAAGGGGGCGTTTCTTTCAAAAAGGTTAAAAACCACTGACTAGAAGCTCTGTAGGCAGTGAAGGCTTGTGACTGCCCCAGGACATAAAACACTAATGTTTTAAGTACACACTAGTTTAACTTTTATGTCTTTGTACAGAATTCAGAGAGTTGTAGTTTTATGGGATCACAAGCATACTCGGTCCAGAGCTGCTCAGAGAACTGTAGCTCTGGTTGTCTGGGGAGAGGGATTATTGGATATTAGATCAATTAGTGCAGGCTATGAAAAAGTACGGGAGCTTTTGATCTTCAGCATGTGGTCATCTTACATTTTGAGAATTACATTTTCAGTTTCTTTCCAGAGATTGAGTTCAGTCTGCAATATGTCCAGAAACAGCAGGACTAGGATGCATGCAGCAACATGCAGTAGGCATGCTCCTTTCCCACTAACCACTAAACATATCTAAACATCCATTCTATTATGTGAGGCTGCCTCAAGGGAAAATGTTCCAGGGTGGCTGCAATCCATTTTCAATTTAGGGATTAGAGGCAGGTTGCCTAAGTCAAAGGGTAGGTTTTCTAGGCCTGCTATAGAGACCCAGCACTTATTGGTTTTAATCTAGAAATGAAGGACAGTTATAGCTTCCAGATTTCCTGCAATAGATAGATTTAGTTATAATTATGGCTGGCAACAATCTGGCCTTTTTAGCCAGTTAACCTGCCTCCTATTTTCCCATGCTTCAGAATTAGGATTGTTAATGTTTTATCCAATACAGGAACAGAAGCTGTTTTTATTAGAGCATATTGGAAGAATGGAGGGATAGAAATAAAATGAATGAATGGATGATCAGTCACCTGACCAACACAAGATAACAGCTGGCAGTTCTTTTGGTGTGAGGTAGTTTGAAAAAAAATTAATCTTCTATAACCTTCTTCCTATCAGGCATTCAACAGCCCAACACCTGAAGAGATATCACACTGGATTAATCCATTCTAATTTATAAAAGCAGACTGTGTTTGCGTCCCCGACTTATTTTAAATGTGTCTGTGCCAACAATGCAGCATACACTTTGAAAATGATGTCTTTTTTTTTAATTGGATGCACCTGGCAAATGGTACTGTTATATATAGGTCTGAATAAAATATGCCAGGACATCTGCAGTTTTAGATGTGTGAATAATATGCTTCTTACATTCCATATAGTGTTAATTAGCATGCTGGATTAAACTAGAACAACATTATTTCTCCATGATGGAGCAGCCTCCCTAAGCAGGTAAGGAATCAACAATAGAAATACCAACATGGGAAGAAGCAGGGTTACTGTGCCCTACAGTAGGATTCTCAGCTATCCATGCATGTGCTGGGATCACTCTTTATGAGAAGTAAAGCAGCTACACTATTACCGTTTCCCTGAAAATAAGCCCTAGTAGAGCTGGACACGACTTAATGACTAAACTACAAAAATTATATAAGCCCTACCCCCAAAATCAGCCCCCGTTAAGTGAAAACCTGTCCTCCACCCTTATGCAGCAACCAGAAGATGACATGACTGTATCTGAATACATTTAGATTGTTGTACATGAAGAAAAATAAAACACCCCCTGAAAATAAGCCCAAATGCATTTTTGGTACAAAATTTAATATAAGACCCTGTCTTATTTTGGGGGAAACATGGTATTACCCAGTTATCATGATGTTGATAGGAGTTGAAGAGAAGTACTGTGGGAACTAGAGGGAGACAAACAGTACAAATTACAAGCATTGAACATGCACACCCAGTATTTGAAGTGTTCCTTTCATACCATTTTAAATCTACAGCCATTAGCAAAGGATTATCTTTTACCTCAGTGTTTTTAAAGGGCAGGTTTCTGGTTTTCAAGTCCCTGCTAAAGGGGTAAGAACAGGCTGGCCTAATGTTTTATTTTATTTTTTGCTAGCCGGAAAGCAAGCTCACACCTGATTTAACTTCTAGCTGAAGCCGGAGGAAAACGCCTCAGAAAACCTCTGTTATGTGGGACTTCTGTGTTGAAATGATGTTACTACCCAAGGACCTATTTGGGGCTACTCATTGAAATGCTGTTCTGAAATGGTTCCAAACAGCACTGACTATTACTAGCCAACGTGTCGCAACACCCATTTGTTTAAGCAGACATAATACTACTGGTAGATATATCTAATGCAGTGCAGGTAACTAGTTTCCTCTGTTCTTGTTCCTTCCTTCATACAAACTGACACACACCGACACATACCCCATGGCTGCTCCAGATTGCCAAGATGCATCTCCCTCCCTCCCCACCCATGCACTTGTACACAAACACACATTTGTCTCTTCCTCTTGCAGCACAATAGAGGTACAGACGCCACAACTTTTACAAACGGTGCATTTTATTTATTGCTCCAAAATAAAAGCAAATGGGGAGGCGGAGATACCCAAGGGCTGAAAAATATGGGTGTGAGGAATGAGGATGGAAAGGGAAGCATTCCCTAGAAATTCCACCTTCTTGCCATGGAGGGAGTACTTTGTAGCTGGCTGTTCTCCCATGTAAGTGGAACTAGCAGGAGGCCAAGTTGTCCACACAATTGAAAAACGGGGGTATTTAATCCCTTTTTTAAAAAATGCAAGTGAACAGCCATGGAGGGGACAGTAGACCAACATACCAGTTTAATAATAATAAGAAATAGGGATGGGGTGGGGAAGGACAGGAGGGAAAGCACTATTCCTATATCCAGCCCCATATTGGAGGTAGATGGGTGAGTTTAGTTTTAAATGGGAGCAAGCCCATGTACCCTTGGGACTTCTAAAATTCTCTTTTTCCAGGGTGGATGACTAGGCAATTCCATCAGGATTCTCTTGTGTACTTATAAAAGGCATAAGGTCTTTTCTTTTTTCCATGACTTGGTTTCTTAAAACATTACCTCTATACATTTTGGCACTATGGATCTTGCTGTCTATTTTATTCAAGACTTTAAGGGACAAGACACACAAAAGGCCTCTCAATGATCCTTAGATAAGCCACAAAATACAGACTTTTCCTTCTAATAATTAAAAAGAAGTTGCCCCCCGAAAAAGTTATTTTGTTGCTGTTGTTTAGGTCAGATGCCCTTCTCTCATTAACCCACAAAGCAGTACTCTAATACTAAATCTACAAGGAATTTTCTTAGTAAAATGACATGGTGAACGTATCGGCTTTAAAAGAAAATAAATCTTCAAAACTGTTAATATACTTTTTAAAAATTAAGTATCTTTCCTTGCTTTATCATTCAAGGGACAGTATGAAGAGGCTACTTCAGCCTCCAGCTATTTTATTGTTAAACTTTTTTGTAAGCATACTAGACAATTAGGGAAATATCCACTTTTTTCTTTAAAAAGATGACAAACTATAATAAAAATAATGAATATTGGTACAATCATTCTTAAAAGCATATGTGAAGTTATTGGTGGCTTTCAATGATTTATTCTTCGTGAGAGACATAAATATTATAGTCTGCCTATTCTTTAAAAGGTACCTGTATACCTTAATCATTACAGTTCCGTGTTTTATTACTAGAGGAATTTGCTTAGTAACAAAATGACCTTTGCTTAGGGAATAATTTTCATCCTGCATTATAATTTTGAAAGGTGGAAATGGTGGAAAATGTTTCCTTTCACATGCTGACATCAGACATGTAGAAGCCAGAAAACTAGGGCCCATGTGTAAACCCCACTGGAAATTTATCCTGTACACAGACATTAAAATGAAAAGAATATGGCCAAGAGGAAACCAATCTTTGTACAACAAAAGGGGTTCAAGAGTGAAAGTCTCTCTTTTTGAACCAATATCAACAAATGGATTTCTGGGTGTGCATCTTTTTCTAGGGGAGACTTGTTCTAAGATGCTGGAGTTTCAATTTGTATTTAGAGGAACAACTTATTTATGCTTCAGTCTCAGACAGAAAATCTGAATGACTCAACAGCCCTCACCCCCATGCTGGTAATGAAATAACTGACATGGTGCTGCCTGTCCAAACAGTTTTTTTGAAAGTTCTAGCAAGCATCTTTCTGTAGGGCCCAGAAATCGATTATTTATATACATATACATAATTCACATTTTCTGGAGTTTTGTGGTGTTGGGAGAGGTGGAGATTGGAGTTTCAGAAGAAGAGCTGCAGATGTACAATCAGAAAGCCTTTTGTAGGCAGTTTAGTTCAATCCTGTGCCTGCTTACCTGAGAGCAAGCTCCACTGAATACAACAGGGCTTACTTGCAAGTTAATAGGCATAGGATTGCAATATAAAAGCTGCTAGTACAATTCTTAGTTTTTGCAAGATCTTCCAATACTGTAGGGCTTGATGCCCCTCACCTGTTGCACACTGTGTATGCCTTGACAAATTCCTTCAAAAGTATACATGCTGATTTCTTTCTTTCTTTTTATGTAGGTCAACACAAATTCATTTCATAGGCCTTTTACAAAATCCAGCCATAAGCTACCAAGACGAAGCCCAGAGTTCTGAGACCCTGCTCTTCTCTTTCTCAAATGGTAAATACTGGGTTTCTTCTAGAAGATACTGTATAATTTAACATTCCCAATTCTATGGAAACTTAGTGGCTGTTCATTCTGCCGAGTTCAACGGGACTTGCTTCCATTAACAAGTAGAGCCATATATGGGTTCTTTACTGGAGTGTCTACTTCTTTTTATGTCTCTTACCAGTTGTTTCTTTTCACACTCTTGGCCACTAACTTTAGGATTAAGCTCGTTATTGTCTCCTGCCAAGACAATATGCTGTTTTTTTCAGTGACATTACTGTACAACCTTCTTCACAGATATTTTTATTTAAATGGCAGCACCTATAATATCCAGCTTCTTAGAAAAAGAGTGAGAAACAAGGTAAGGAAGAAAGAAAGGGTTGAGGTCCAACGTCTCTTTTCCTCTCAATCCTGAAGGAGATAATAAATCAAGGGAGGGACAGAACAATAAATTAGTAAATAAATAAATAAATGTAAACAAAGAGATTAAGCAGGAAAATGTGTGCGTGTGTGTGTTTGTGTTTGTCTGTGAGAAACACGTTTGGCACATTGAAGAGGGTATTCACAAAGGGTTGGGGGAGTGGAGAGCATCCAAAGCTGGGAGTGAACAGTGAGGCAGCAACATGGAGAGAAAGGGAGAAAGCTCAATCTGTGGGTTAGAGAGAAGAAACTCCCTCTCTCCCTCCATTTCCTCAAGGCCCCCCCAAAACCACTTTCCACTGTTCCCTCCTAAACAGGAATCGTTCGTCGCTGTTGCTTAAACCCGCTTGGGTTGGGGGAAGAACGCAGATCCTCTAAAGTCTTCTAGATGGATACTTCATATTCTCTGGTGTCCTGCCAATGGATGTAAGGGAGGGGGGGGAGAAAAAAAATCAGATTACTGTAATTGATCACGATGGGTCTTGGCAACATCTTTTCCACCTGTCTTTTAAACTACCTCAGACCAAAAAAGGGCTTTAGTTGTTAAAAAGCTAGTGTTGTTTTGTTTACATAGTACATGAAGAGAACCATAGTTCGAGGTAGGTTCAGAGTAATATGTCTTTTTAAAAAAAAGCAGGCACAGCCAGCTGTGGGGCTAAATAGCTGTCATAGAAGTGAGAGAGGTTTAACTCTTTCCACTCCTGATTTGGCTATACAGTCAAAGAAGTGTAGTAGCTGTACGGGATCCCAAAGATCATTAAGTCCCATGCCCACCCCCCACCCCGTGAAGCAGGAAATCTACAGCTAAAGCATTTCTGATAGATGGTTACCCAGCATTTGTTTAAAAAATAATAATGAAGAAAACCCACCACTTTCTGAAATAGTCGATTCCATTCTCAAACAGGTCTTACTGCCAGGAAGTTTCCCCCCATGTTTAATCGAAATCTCTCACCTTGTAATTTGAAGAATTAGTTTGGGTTCTATCCTCTAATGCTGGACATAACAAGCCTGCTCCACCATATTTCCATGCCTCTAAAAAAAACCCACTTAAAACAGATTGTCAGATGTCAAGCATGCAGACCGTGTGCAACTCACCCCAGCCTCATAGAGAGGGTTGTTGAAATCAGACTCAACAGTGATAGGGCTGTAGCTGTGGGAACTGGAAAACGAGAAACCAAAGAGGGTTTTCCCTTGGAACCTGCAAGGAGGGTTGAGGAGAGAAAAGAAAAAGAAGACAGATTAAAACAGGCAGGCTTAGTTGTTGGGAATCCAGTACTGTACTGCTTCCTATAGGTTCAGAGCACAATCCTGCACAGGATTTGTATGCAGAAGATCTCACCGAATGAAATGGAGTTAACTCACAGATGGGTAGATATAGGATTGTGGGCACAACCCACCTTTTTAAAGGAAAGGATCACATCTCAGAGGCACAGCATATGCTTTGCACGCATAAAGCTGGCCTGGGAAAGATCTCGCTCTAAAAACTTGTAGAGCTGCTGTCACTCAATGCCGATCACACTGGGCTTGATTAAGCAGCGTTCTAATTCCATATAAGGCACCTTCTAAAACACTGAATACTTCAACCACCACCTCCTCCTTCATTGGTCAACTGGATTCACACAACAGCTCGCCAATATTTTATTTAGCCAACCTACCTGTTCCTTTAACAGTAGCTTGATGCACAAAGATCAGAAAGTGGGAAACTATTGGCAGGAAGCATATATTTCAGATAAGTCTCACAGGCCATGCACCTGCAAATATTTAACACCTCAAGAGGCCTAGAAAACCACAAACCGGGCCTTCTTACACCTTCCTGAACCCCTAGAAACCCCCATCAGTATGGCAAAGGGTCAGAAATTTTGGGTGTTGAAATCCAAAATAACTGGACAATCAACATTTGAAAACTACTGCTTTGGTGGAATTTTGACTGGCTGATGTGTATCTTGAGTTAATATTGATTTATATTCACCTCATGATTCTAGTATTATTTTCTCTCTCTCTCTGTTGTTGTAAGCCCCTTTTCAACACATGCTGAGGAAAAATAACTTTTTTTAAAGGAAGATAATGATTGGGTGTCCATAAGTAGTGTGGGAACTCTAGTTCAAGGCAAAAGGCTTTATCCGTACAGATTATGAAGAAATTGTAATGAAAATGGTGGCTTCCAGCATGTGCATGCCTGTCATCCCTGAGTAACTGTACCCCATCTCCCTAATCACTGGTGGAGAGACTTCAGTTTAAATCCCAGCGTCCCAGGCATGCCCAACGCTAATAGCCTTCTATTTCTAAAAAGAACCACTGACTTCTAACTCCGCAAGGTAGCTTAAGCTTGCGACACTACCGCCAACTCCACTGCAACCACTGGCCATGGTTACTCCCTTTCAGAGGCTCAACTCTTCCTCCATTGCTCCCCATCCCAATGAACAGGATTGTGCTCACTTGGTGTAATAGATGTAGATTCCGCCAATCAGAAGGATAACCAGGATGATGGGCAGGAAGATCGCCAGGGCAATGTTGCCCCCTTCCATCTGGTGGGAAGGGTCCGTCGTTTGAGTGACTACGGAACAGAGAACAACCAAGAGTGGGACTGATGTCATGGCTCCGAAGCGCAGTAATCTTGCCATAACCTCCCTCAAGATCCCTTTTCCAAGTTGCCCATCCCGCAACCACCCATGAATGTTTACCTTCTAGTTTCCGTCCATCGAGTAACTCCTCATAGGCCACTGGTTGCGAGAGTTGGGGGGGGGAGAAGAGACCAAGAGAGCATTTAGAGAAGGAAAAAGAATCAGCTATATCAAAAGCAAGGTGGTATGGGAAAGGCCCATCCAGGGATGGTGGAGAAGGAGACCCTTCTATACCTTTGCACAGTGGGGGCTGGCTGGTCCACTGGGATGGATGCCCTGGTATGCAGGTGATTGTCACCTCACCAATGAGCTCAAATCCCTCGTAGCAGAAGAAACGCAGGGACTCCCCTGCCTGATAATGGTGCTTGTAAAGGGTTTGGTACCCATTCTCTGGGACGCCAGGATTCAGGCAGGGCTCATATTTCACTGCAACAGAGAGAAAAGATCGTCAGTCACAACCTTGAATGTAAACTCAGTGATGTGAGATACCAACATAAAACTGTTACTACTACAAATAGAGTCTGGCTGTTGGGGGGGTGGGTTCTAGATGGTGGTGGGGATGGAAATGTTACCACAGCTATGCTAGCTAGGGGATCTGGAAAGCTTTAGTCCCTAGAAGTGATTCTTCCAAGATCCTGATAGGTTGAGGCGACCAGAAAGGAGAGGAAACGGACAGGAAGAACCACAGCATCGGTTTCTCCTGCTGTACTGCCATGAGAATTTTAGGGGAAATGTTCAGAATAAGATGTGGAAAATCTTAACTTTTGCTTCAATGGGTAGTTCTGCTCATGGAAAACAAGCTCATTCTTGTTGTTTTCTTACCAGTAGAACCTTTACATGCAAAGAGAATAGCTACAGCAAGCAAAACATTTGGAATGACATAAAAAAACCCCAGCAAATCATACATTATTCATGATTTTTTATTTTATTTATGCCCCCATACCCTGTTTCCCTGAAAATAAGACCTAACCTGAAAATAAGCCCTAGTATGATTTTTCAGGATGCTTGTAATATAAGCGTTACCCCAAAAATAAGCCCTAGTGAAGTTGAAAGCCCGCCCTTCACCATTGCGCAGCAACCAGAAGATGACATGACTGTATTTGAATAAACACAGAGTGTTGTACAGCTCTATGTCCTGCTAATCCTTAAACCCCATGAACAGCTGCTACTATCTTTACAGCTCTTGGGTTCTGCACATGCACAATTCCTCTCCATGTACATGATTCTGCTGCTTTGATAAAGCCCTCCTTGACCCCGTTTACTCACAGACACACTTGGGCACTCGGTCGCTCCATTTGGGGGTGCCTGTGTCCCGATTATAGCAAGTCAGGGTGCTGCTCCCTTCCACCACGTAGCCCTCGTGACAGAAATACTGGACGTGGGAACCGATGGAGAAACGTCGGTCTGAGACACTACGTTTGCCGTTGCTTATTTCTCCAGGATCAGCGCAGTTCACAACTTGGGAAGTGGGGAGCAGGGGACAGAGAGAACAAATAAAATGAGTCTCCAAAGAACGCGTTGTAGGATTCTGCCTTGTCCTCCCCATTGAGGATATCACACCTGCTAATGTATGAACTAACACTCTTCCAGCTACCACTGGTCTTCCAGCTGCTATGGAGAAACTGAATGTGGTGTCTGGGTGGTGCTGTGAACCTTTCAGCTTTCATTCTTAAGCAAAGCAAAGTGGTAGTCCTCAGCACTGTGGAGTGCCCTGTACAGACTGTGGCTGTTTGAAAACATAAACTAAACAGGATTTTGGACAAAGCCTTGTGAATCAGAGATTACTTCATCATCTTGTGCTGACCCCTGTGTTGTCGGTTTCTTTGCCTAAATTCTCTTTCTTCGGTACATTTCTATCCCATGGCTTTACCTTTCTAGCATTCCCTCACTGATGCCTTTTGAATCAAGAAAGACCAGGGAAACATAGAACAAAACAAAAGGCTAGTGTTTGCCAGTGGCAAAAAGGCTTACTCTTCTGGCAAGTGGGAGGACTGTTGCTCCAGGACAGGTCCCATTGGCAAGTGAGGATATCTGATCCCACAATGTCATAACCTGGCTCGCACTGGTACGTCACCACTGTGCCACGGATGACGGCGACATGCGAAGCTGTGCGCCAACCAAACTCCACCTCGGGCAGTTCTGGGCACGTGTCGTTGCGTGGAACCTCTGCCAGGCAGGAAAGAGAGGAAAGAATTAGGGACTGCCTTCCACTGTGCCTCGGCTGCTCACTCCATCTGTCCTGTCCTTCATCCACTTCTTCATCGTATGCTGGGAATTCTACAGAAGCAAGTTGCCCTAGGATTAACTACCCTTGAACTCCCTTTAGCATAGATTTTCTTTTCTTACACACTCAAAGCAGTGAATCAAAGTTATGCTCAGATCCTAGATCAGGGATCAAGTATTTGAGATCTATTTCTGGCAAGCAAGAAGCACAGTTTTCTAATTGTTACTTGTGAAGGAGAAAAGAATTTGACTCGTTTAAAATATGGTGTTGGAAGGATGCTTTACGGATATCATGGGCCATCAGAAAGACAAGTAAATCGATTCTAGATCAAAACAAACCTGAAATCTCACTAGAAGGGAAAAGTGGACGACAATAGAGGGGGAAAGACTGAATGTGACATAGATTGACTCAATGAAGAAAGCCATAGCCGTTAGTTGCAAGAGCTGGATAATACAAACTTTTAGAGATCAATACTTCATAAAAGCACAGTAAGTCAAAAGGAACTTAACATAACCTATTTTTAGTCTTATACTGTATATATCCCCAGGCAGGCATGGAAGCAGACACTGGTGTTAAAAGAAGGAGGCCCTTATTTCTCACATCCCTCACAGCCTGCTTAAAACTGAGCAAAATGGATCTCTAGATTTTTCTTCTCTGTGCTTTCATTTTCCCTCTCGCCAGCCTAGTTGTTTGGCCTTTTGTCCATTCCAAGTGGGTAATCTAAGACTAGCAGGTGAAATTAGACACACACACACCCATGCCAAGGAAGATATTGGCTTCCATCCATTTTTTCGAAAGCTTGGAAAATTCATCTGTTTTGGGCAACTTAGCCACTGGTCAGGCTGGCTTAAGGATTTGAAGAGTTGCTGAAAAAAGTGATTTTTCCAAGCTGTCTTTCTTCATTTTGCATCTACTACTTTAGAGTGGTGTTTTTTTTTTTCTTTCTTTCTCATACCCTTGTATCGCACCAGGAATCCCTGGCTGAGGCCAAAGAGGGGGTCCCCGGGATCTGACTGGAACTGGAGAGTAACCGCTGGGCCAGAAGAGTAGAGGCTGAAGCGAGGATGGGGGCCCAAGTACTGGCCGAGGATTCGAGCCGTTAAGTCTCCTCCATCAAAGATAGTCAGCACATCTGACTTGCGGATGTTGAGGCTGGCAGGAAGGAAACGGCATAAAAAAATCAGAACAGTCGCTAGAAGAGAAAGATAGAGATGGGCACGAACCGGTTCATCCAAGGCAAGAGCACAAGTGCAGCCACTCCCTTCCCCTGCTTCCTCTGGCTCAAACGGCCACTCCCCAGGCCCAGCTTGCTTGTCTTTTTCCACCTCCTCAGCTGATCTTCCAGTCCCGGCAACAGCTCAGGCTTCTCTGCCCCGTCCTCTTGGCTGATCTCCCACTCAGACCAAAGGGCAGGGCAGAGAAGTCTGTGCTCTTGCTTGTGACCGGGAGATTAGCAAAGGAGGCAAGAAAAGCAAGCAAGCTGGCCCTATTGAATGGCTGTTTGAGCCAGAGGAGGCAGGGAGGGGAGCAGCAGCCCCTGTGCTGCTGCCTTGACGAATTGGGACAAAACAGGACAAACCAGTTCGTGCCCATCTCTAGTGAAGAACAAAGGGGTAGGGTAAGCCCCTTGGACTTCTCTGACATTTATCTTATCCAAAAGAGAATTGGGTATGTGTGTGGACAGATGAAATCATGGATGGATGGAAAGAGTACTGCAGGCTTTCACAGACAATTAAATCAAGGAAAAAGAGGGTCCTTTTACAGGAAAGTGGGTTTTAACATGAAAATAAATGTGATTTCTATTACATGGAACAGAGCTTGGAATACAGTTCTTACAGAATTCTCACTGACTGTCCTGGGCTGGAAGATTCTGAGGGCTGTAGTTTTGTTTTGTTTTGTTTTTAAAGAAATTTTTCTAAGCTCTGGTGTGGATTTCAATTCGGTGTCTATGCAGTGACTGCTTGGAAGTACGGTACATCACAGAGATCTGGATAATCAGCATTATAATCTTAGAAGTGCAGAGCTGGAACAGACTTTGTGGATCACGTCCAGCCCCTGTCAAGCAGGCCCAGTGAGTGAGGAATCTCGGGCTCCATAACCAGATACCTTAACCACTGAACTATCTGTCCAGCACTTCAGCACTTACGCTGGACAAAAGCAGACGTTAAGCTGATGTCCACTCTTTCAGTGAACGAAACTCTCACTTCACTGTAGTTTGGCTTACTAAGAGGAAGTGTTTATACTTCTTAGTGTTTCCTTTTTAAAAGATAGGGGTATAGAATGTGTTAATTATCGCACAACTGCAGATGTGGCACATTTTTATATAAACTTTATATAATTTTTAATATAAACTTTATATAAGGTCTCCAAATTTTTTAAAAAACTTGGGTAGTGGGAGAAAAGTTGGATTAAATAATACCAATACAGGCATGAATAAATTAATCCTCCGTCCTTGCTATCTTTAAAGGGGGCTGTGCCTTCTGTCATCCTTTATGTCCTATCTAACTTTGTACTCAATTTAATCTCCATGAAACAGAGATTATGTCCTTCCAGTTTTCCATAACAGTTATGTAAAGCACTGCTGATGCTGGCAAATGCTAATCATCGGATGTTGCAGAGGAATTAACTGGTTTAAACACAGTCCTTTCCTACCAATATCAATAAAATAAAACACTCTTCTCCACTTTATATTTATATAAAGTATTTTCTAGTTAGAGGAAGTGCCTACAGAACTTATACAAGGACCTTACCACATTTAATGGATGAGATGAATGAAATCAACAACGGATCTGATTATGGTTTCAGAAGACTATGGAGACAAGATGGGATGGCGATGCCCAGGGCCACAGACGTCCTTCCCAATAAAAGGGTCAGTGGTGGGATGCTGGTGGTGGCAGCAACAGTGGTACCTACATCTCAATGTCCAGCAATACTCGCTTCTCCTCCTGCACCCGGATGCCCCAGACACAGTCCTGGCCTTTCCCATAGGATTGGGGCCAGTCAGGGGACAGTACTACACCTGTTGGTTCAGAGAGTTCCCCACCACACAATGCTGGGGAGAGAGAGACACACACAAAGTTAAGAGGAAGGGACACGTAGAGCCAAATGATGTATCCGTATTACCAACCCAAACTAATTTTCAACCAGATTCCTCAGTGAAAAGAAAAGAAAAAATCTGCATTGAGAAAATAAAGGGCAAGGCATAGTTGGGAAACACACACACAATACCCTAGGCTAGGAAGAATTCATGGACGCTGTTAAAGGGCAATTCCCAACATTGTTTGGGACATTAGTTCCCAATCTTGGGTTCCCAGATGTTCCTGGACTAAAACTTCATCACTAGATGTGCTGCCTAGGATTTTAAGTTGTAGTTCAAGAACATCTGCATTCATAAGGCAGAGGTATGGGGGGGGGAAGATAAGACAAAACAGAAGCCTTCATAAAATGCATAGCAAAGTCAGAGAGCTGGGTGGATTACCTTTGCAAGTGGGTTCACTCTCATTCCATCGGGGGTCTCTTGAATCAATGCACTCAATGGCAGAAGGCCCTTGCTCAAGCATGTAGCCGGCACTGCAGGCAAACTCCACCACCGTCCCCACACGATACAAAGGATCTGACGTACTGAAATTGCCATGGGCCAGGAAGGGTTCATAACACCGGTCTTCATCGAAAGCTGTCAGGAGGGAGAGGAGCAATAAGAGAAGCAAAGCTTCCTCAAGGGAAGTAAAGGAGTCCTGCTCCTTGCAGTACCACCTCCGGCCAAGAGATGGAAGCAGCAATACGTACATCTATCAAGAACCTGAAGCCTGCAGGCAACGAACTTGCTGATGGTTAGATCAGCTTCAATGTATAAAATTCATCTATGCTTCTAGTTTCTTACCAAGGGTGGCCAGACCACAACGCTGCAATGCAGTAGAAACCTCAACTGGAGGAATGCTCTTCTCCAGAAGCTCTACATCTTTGTGGCTGATCAGTTCCTTTCTTTCAGTCACGTACTGACGTCCCCTTTGTTCTCTAGCTTCAACTCTCTTTTCTCTTCCTTCTTGTCTCTACCACTGAGAGTCTCCTCAAGTTGCTACTGCTCAGGTCACCCTTAAGCTGCATGTATCTTCATTGGCTTGCCTAGGGCTCCTTTCTCCCCCACCTAAAGCTTACAAACCTTCCTTGTCTTTAGCCATTTCTCCTGAGCCCTCCTCCCTCTGCTTATTAGGGCCCTCCTCAGTATTTCTCCTGAGCCCTCCCTCTGCTTATTAGGGCCCTCCTCAGCCAATCCCCTCTCCCACCCACCTCCAGGTTCCTCTCCTTCACAGTCTGTACCTTTCTCCAGCACTCCGGCTTTTGCATCCTCTGCTCGTTAGCTTTCAGAGCCATGACTCCCTCTCTCACGTTGTCCCATTCATATCGACGCTTCCTTTTCCCTCACACAATATGGATCACAAGCTTTCTGAGCAACTCTATACAGTAGGACTCCCGTATCCACAGGGGATTGGTTTCAAGCTCATCCGCCCCCACCCAGTGGATGCTGAAAAATGTGGATTATAGCAAACACTATTTTAATAGCAAACACTATACCTATAGTGGCCAGTTCTGGGAAATTCACCTTTAGAAATATATATTTCTTGGGTTTTTCTTTTAACCTTTTTAATATTTTCAGACCATGGGTAAGTGGGGGGTCCTACTGTATTCCATACAGCCCACACCATCTCAGCTCATCAGTGTGACAGGCTTCATCACAACAATATGTGTAATAATTTATCTCGCTCAAGGTGAGGGAGATGTAGTGTCAATGTTTCCCTTACTGCTCTCCCTCCTTCACTTTTGAGAGTGAGGGGTTGGGGCAACTATGTTCTCACCTTCATAGCGCAGGCTCAGGATGAGAGGTGTAGCAGGGCCTTCACTGGTCAGCTCCACAATGAGCGACTGGGCATCACTCAGCAACCCTCGTTCTGGAACGTCGTCCATGTCGGAGTCGTAGATGATGGGGGAAAAGGCACTGCTCCCACTGCGGATCATTAGCCTGAGGGCAGGAAAGGATCTTGGTGATTGGGCCTGCTCCCCCTCCTGAGGCAGGTCATCCCATGCTTTTACCACATAAAGTTACTGAGAACTCCCCACCAGTTTGAAAAAAATTCATTCTTTTCTGCTGCTGCAATTCCTTACATTTTTCATAATGAGTTGATTGTTTTTTTAAAAAAAAGTTTAAAAGGCCCAATGACACTGTTTTATTGAGTTAAGTTTATGATGGTCAATTTCAGTAGTTCTAACTGGATGGCTCCATTAATGAATTAAACCACCAGCTCCACTCGTCCTGGTGATTAAATAATATGTACTGCAGTGGTGCTCCTACTCCTGTTTCCAAGCTCTGCTCCTGCCCCTTTTTCAGTGGGCTTCTCTGTATCTCTGTGAGCCAGTCCTTTTCTATTCCATGCACTGCAGACCAGCTGCTTCCATGGAGGCCCCTTCTAAACCTGTTAATTCCTGGGAGTCCTGCTTTTGCTCCCCTTCAACTCTGCCCTCAACCTTTTCCTCAACACCCCCGTCTCCTGTATCCCCTCAACAAGATTCTTCACCTTCTCTTCCCGTTTCCTTCACCTTCAACAGTCATGACTTCCACCACATTTCCTACCAGCTTTCCATTTTTCCTTTTTATTGTCTCCCCATCACTTTGGCCTGCATCCCACCCCTGATTTCAAAACCCCATTCCCTCACTTGTCATTATCCTCATCCAGGGCCACTCTCTCAAAGTGCAGGTGCAGCCGCTGGCCTTCGGGAGCCTCCACCAGCCATCGGCACGTCAGGTTCCGACCACCGCGAGGCCCACCTGGCGCCTCAGGAGCCACAATACGGCCACGAGTGGCATTGTGAACTGTTCCTCCACAGGAAGCTAGTGGCAAAGAAAGCCAAGCAGGGTTACTTTTTCTATGGCATACACAGAATCCAACATGCCCCTTTGCCCCCAGTACTCGCTCCACTCCCTACAACGTCAAACAACAGCATTTAAACATTTCCCATCAAGTTCACATGTTGGGGGCCTTTTCAGAACTTCTGAGAAAATATGATAGGCATCCTTCAGTCTCAAGAGACTATGGTAACATGCTCTGAATTGAGGAGTGTCCTCTCCAGAGTATGAAGCCTGGGTAAAGTAATATGGAGGATAAGCTGTTACCCAAGCAGCAGATCCCCCCTCTCCACATTGCTGAAATGGTCCAATGGAAAGGCAAGAGCCAATACAACCGGTTCCAGCAACGTCGCAGGAGTTGGCAGAACGACATGAGCTGCCTTCGGGACTCCAGCTCTGGATTTTGCCTCGAGGTTAACTCCTGAAGCCTTTTCCATGAGTGGATATAGCCACAAGGCAGTGGAGGTTTGAAATCGGAGTTTCCCTTCTCCTAGATGGGCTGCCTTCCATGGCTGACAAGCCCCACCTACCCGGCCTGCTCTTTAATAGTGCGAAAGTATGATCAAACATAATGATTTAACAAATGGCCTAAGAAATCAACAAATGAATTGCATTTCTTAACATTTTAGGATCAACAAATTTACTCTTCTTAGCAATGTAACATTAAGGCACTGGGGATACTGCTAATGTTTCCAAACTTGTTCATATAATCAATTCATATAAAAAAGGCAAAAACAAAAAGTCTGCAAAAGAGGTACGGAGTTGGGTTAGGTCATATACCTGCCCTGGAAAACCATTCTAAAATGGATTGACTCCAAATATGGCTTTAGTCTGGACTGGAGAATTTACAATTGTGTAGTAACTTCCCATTCCCAGGGATAATTCAGCATTGCTGAATCTTGTCCAGTGGTCTTTCTTGTTCTGACAGGACCTAGTCAGATACACTTCAGAAAATCACAAACATGGTCTCTTAAAGGCGGCCACTTGCTGTTTTGTCTAGAGCAAGTCTGTGGAGCCTCTTTTGCCCAAGGGGTGGATCCATTCAAGAAAAGATCTCAGGGAACCCATTGTGGGGACAAAGGATGGCAGGACCATAAATACAGTGGTGCCTCACTTAATGAGTGCGAAGATCTCAAGGAACCCATTATGGAGACAAAGGATGGTAGGACCATAAATACCAACATATTTTAGCTTAATGCTTCTAGGACAGGTAACTAAACATTAGAAGCAAGGTTTCAACCTTTTAAGAGTAGGAGAAACATCTATACAAAATCTGGGAAACCACAAACTCATGGTGTTGGGTGAAAAGGTGTGTGATGTTTGAGGAATCCCAATGAGGGCAACTGAGACCTTAGGAGAGCCAAACTCAAGATTAGGGCTTCAGAGTTCCCATTCCTGGCCAAGAGCATGAATCGGTAAGAGGGTATCATGCCTGTCTGAACAGGGAGTGCTGACTCTTAAAAATTGACAGATGTATTCTTTATGAACGTAGTAGTTTTTCTTGTTAATGTCATTGAGGTTGGTCAGCATCCACTGCACTTTGTGGTAAAGAACTCTCTACAAGACAATAAGTACACCATATAAAAGAAATGCTTTATTCTGATTTGTTCTGAAGATACTGGCCAGCATCCTACTGCTAGTCACACACAGGACTACATCCCCTGAATCAACTGCTGAAGAGTAAGTCAACACTTATGTACATCCCACTAAGTCAATGGGTTTACTCTAATTGGACTCGCAATAGGATATTGGTCATTAGTAACTAATCTTTGAACAAACCTAGGTTTCAGTCTTTTGAGAAAGAAAAAAACCGTTTATCTTCTTGCTACATCAATTGTAATTTTACAAATTCTTGCCATTGCGACTTCGCAACCTCAGAACGTTCATCCCTCAATGCCATGAACAACAAAGAGGCAGAAGGGAGTTGCTCACACTTTGACCTCTCCCCAACTTACTCATTGGTCTACGGAGAGGTGAACAATGTCCACAGGTTCATGGGACTGCACATGCTCCTCTCTTGACCTTGGAGTGTTGCATCCACTCCTATGCCCAACACCACAAATAATTTTTTTAATAAATGTGTTTTTTTAAGTGAAAAAGCCTCCCTATGCCTGCAATTTAAAAAAATAAAAATAAAGGGGCAATGGGGAGCAGGGATCATAGATGATGCTGAAATCATGGCAAAAATGCCCCACCAACCAGTAATGGGGGTCAAGAGGTTTTCTGAGCCACCCCACCCCAGCAATTTAAATATTGTAGTGTGCTCCAGGGCTGGGCCCTCCAGGGTGCTGCTAAGGAGCCTCATTTGGCCCCATAAGTTGACCACTCCAGTCCATACTACCATGGCCTTGCACCTAGGCTACACAATCCAATTATCTGTCCATTCACTTACCCACACATGCAGGACTGGTGCCACTCCAGCGAGGGCGGCTTACATTGAGGCAGATGAGTGTCTCTTCTCCCTGCAAGTGGAAGCCTGATTCACACTTAAAAGTGGCAGAACCACCTGGATGGAGGTCAGTAACCGTCACATCCCCATTCTCAGGTCGGCTGGGGAATCCGCAGCTGAGCAGAAAAGCTAGAAGTGCATAAGTGGGCAGGGAGAGTAAAAGAAAAAGGATCAAGAAATCTGTCCATATCTGTGAGCCAAATAGAATTAGAACTGGGTGGAACAGGCAACATTTGCATTACTGATTGATAAGTTTAACGGCTTTCACCAGGATCAGGCCAAAATTTGCATTAAAATTATTCTTAAAAGATGTCAGACAACAGCTAGCTGTTTGGCTTATTTAACTTTCGTTCTGACATTCTTGTTCTGAATTTTTTTTTTACCTCAGACTGTGGCAAACATAAATCAGTCTATGCATGATAAAAAAAACCCTCAAAAATAGCATTTGTCTGATTATATTCTGGCTTCCTTGCTTTCAGACCATAGTGGAATTCTGCAAAGAGATTTTCAGGCTTATTTTCATAATCATAAGTATATCCAAGACATAGTTGGAATTCATAGGTTAAAAACGTAACAATCTGATAAGATAAAGTTTGTGAATTCAGGAAGAAAATAAACCCCTGCAACTTCACCAGCTGACAGAGAATCTCCATAACTCAACTATGGATGGGCAACCAACTGACAGTATGAGAGGGAGGATGGCCATAAGAGTGTGGTTCACGATAGCCACACAGTGTGTGTGTGTGTGTGTGTGTGTGTGTGGGTGTGTGTGTGTGTGTGTGTGTGTGTGTGTGTGTGTGTGTGTGTGTGTGTGTGTGTGTGTG